TACGAAGGATTTGTAACGAACATTTTCATCGATGAATATTAATTTTGAAACGATTGAAAAATGAGAAACGAGAATTTTTAATCGTTTAATTGGTATGAAATAAAATTTCTTGCGAAAAGTGGTACTCGTGCAACGAAGTTTGGAAGATTATACGTTTGTTAGGTGTTGAATGGAAATTTTTGGGCATCAATTGTATGCCAGGTATACTCAACTTCCGGTAAATTATCGGTGTCTCACGCATGATATCGTTCCCCTTATGTATACCATGAATAATGTTGAATATTGCATGAACATCGATCGTACATTTGACATACGATTACGAATTAATAAGTTTCATTTAGAAATAATATTTGTTTTAACGATTCGATAGAAAATGTTGGGATCGAAAATCTTTTCTTTTCTTTTTTTCCGATATATAATATTTTGAAAGAAAAGATATTCGTTTAATAAAATAGCCTAGTTAGAGATTTATTGAGATTATTTGCATACTAAATCAAAAAACCATCCACGAATTTTGCTATTTATTTAAAAAAGCGAAATCCTTAATGATCGATGATTTATCAGAAATATAAGAAATTAAAAAATTCTCTGCAAATTATTTATAAAATTGGTTCACAATATATAAATTCCAACAAATAAAAATGACACCTGATAAGAGTCAAGTCTCACCTATCAATGTGTATCAAAGAAAAAGAAATAGGAGGAAAAGTTTTACAGGAAGCGTGGTCTATCGTTCCAGAAATCGTTCCAAAGCCGGAAATTGGCCGCGAAAAGCGGTTACGATCGAGTCGTGGGAGCGCACGATCTTTTTTCCCCTGCCATACATTTCGAATTCGCCCGCCATACATTAAACGTTGTTGTTTAAATTAACCGCGTGGCGGGGCATTTAACTGCCGCATCGGAATTACGGTCACGAGCCAACCTTTCACGGTTTCACGGCTGTTAGAATCGTAACAGACATGGCGGGACGAGTTCTGGGCCTCTTCCAGCTTCGAGACGGCCGGGACGATCGAGAGACTCCCCTTTTGAATCGGAAGAAGGGAAACACATGTAACGTGCTTTCACTTCTTTTCGACTGCTACACGTTGCGTGACAAATAATGGAACAACTTTTGCTTTGACGATATTGAACGGGGAATTTTAATAACGAATATCGTTACATCATCGAATGTACATCATCATTTGATCGAATTTAATCCGATGAAATGTTTAGAGTTTGGTTGAACGTCGTTTGGATGAATAATCTTCATTCAAATCGATATGTTTTAGATTTGAATTTGAATTTACCGCGCTTCCTGGAAATCTAACCTTATTTGTGTTAGATTCGTATGTATAGATTATTTATTTGAAAAAGATAATATAAAATAAAATATATAAAAGAGAGTTTTAAAATTTAAGATGATTAAACCGTTTTAATTGCAAATCAGTTAATTGATTCTTTTGTTAAAAAATTGTTGAAAATCGATCCTGTAAATAACTAGGTTATGAAATTTCATCTTTTATTTTGAGATTATACAAACATGTCTTTTCATTCAGACGTTTAATTGAATACTGGATACTTTGTTTTCTAAAATACAATTAACACAATAACGTAATAAGGAATATATTCGAAATGTAAATTTGAAAGTTTAGAAATTCAAGAAAAAGACACATACATAAAAAAAAGGAAAGGAACAACTTGGTTTATTCAACCCAAAAAAAAAAAAAAAAAAAAAATTGAACGATCCGACTATTTTATTTTAATTACGTTTTAATTACTTTTTTTTTAAATGCCAAAAATTAACGACATCTCCTGTTTATTTAATTATTTAACTATCGAATAATGGATTTTCGAAAGTTTAGATCCCATTTTTAAAACAAAGATTAGAGAATCGTGCGTTGAATGGACATCCTTCCAAGAATGAAGAAACGCGTGTTTATCGCGGAGTTTATGATTACAAAAGGCGTTAAAAGAATACCTTTTCGGATTCATCGTTCATAGAATGGCACTCAGTAACACGTACTCCACTTTAATGACCCTTTCACGCGGCCCGACCATGGACATTATCTACTTTAACTGGCTCTGTACAACGCCAGTCTTCACAGAAACCGTTCTTTACTCGGATTCGAGCTATTTACTATTCCATTTTAGCGAAAAAAAAAAAAGAAAGAGAAATCGAATCGTTGAAGAATTATGAATCTAATGGATCTCGAACGTTTGGCAATCGAGATTCTGTTACTTAATAAATAAAAATGTGAGTGTATTTTCATCAAATCCGTTGACTCTACATTTTTTTTTTTTTTTCTCTCTTCTCTTCTTTTCAAGTATACAGTTGTGAAAAAACTAGAACTTTATGTAAGCGCGGTTTGTCTAGAAATTCGAATAAATTGTGTAAGAAACATATCTACTTATTTTTTATTATTATTGTTTCTTTTCTTGGAGATGGAAGTGTTATATCGTGTCGTTCTTTTGTTAGGAGAGAATTTAAAATATAATTCATAGAGTTACAGAATTTTGAAATCAATTTCGAAGCTCGAAAATTTAAATTTTAAAAGATTTGAGCTCTAACGTAATTAAAATTCGACAATTCTATTCGATCGAAAAACTTTCAAAATTCAAGTAGCGAAATTCGAACGAAACTTTCATTCATTTTAAAATGTGAACTGTAGAAACGTGAAAACACAAAAATATCGTTTAAAAAATTTAAAATCACGTTTGAAAATATTCCGCTCAAGAATTTAAATTAAAATTAAAATTTCAGATTTAATAATTAAAAAAAATTCCAAATTTTTCTGCGAACGGGCAAATTTACATTCGTTAAAATTGTTTCATAATTCGGTCAGAGGTCTCCAGTCGCCATATCCTCTCATTGTCGTAGGCCGAGCTCCTTTTTTTCTTTTTTTCTTTTTTTTTGAATCGTCCATGATTCATCCCAAACATTTGAATTCAAAATGGACACAAGGGTGGAATCTTTATGCCAATTTCACGAGAAGGATGCAAAGAATCTTGATCCTAATCTTCGTCTCGCCGAAATTTTTTTATCTTAATTCGCGAATCGCGACATACCAACGTTGTACTCGCATTTTGAATCACAATGTGACTCGTTTCGAAATAATCCCAAAGAACGTGCACGAAAGAATCTTGTCTTGGGACGAGTATTTCAAACTTTATCAATTTTATCAAATATTTTTCTGATACTTTCTAATATATATATATATATTCACAATACAAAATTAATTTAATTTCTCATATCTATTTTTTTAAATAGATAATCTATACTTTTCAATTTTTTTTTTAACTCCAAGCATACGAAGTAATAAAAAAAAAAATGATATCATCTCTAAACAAACTTAAAAATTTGATGAATCTTCTTTTTAAGGATACAGAAAAGAAAGTGATAATCGAGTTATTCTTCGAGCAACGAAAATCTTCGATTTGGATGCCATTATTCGACGAATACATAGAGAAACCACCGATTACAATAAAAACTCTTTTCTTCAACACCATATATTCATCGAACGAGAATGTTGTAAAAAAAAAAAAAGGACAGGAAGAAATTTCTCTTTTTTTCTCGATAATTGGAAACGTCGATGCCGATGCTTTTCCCCGCATCCTTCGCTCTTGACCGACATTTTCGATGGCAATAAACGAGCGAAATCGTCGCTTTGCATAACGTCCACGCACGATTTCCGCGATTACGGAGCCGTGCCGCTTAATGGGCGAGGGAACAGTGCTATTCGTTCGGGTAGACAAACGAGCTCTGTCTCCGGATACCGTCTCTGTTGTTGCATCACTCGTGACCTAGCCAAGGACCACTCCTTCTCCGCGGGGGAAGAATAAAATATTCGTTTAATAGACGATGGGATCCAAAGAGAATTTGAAAATGACGAAATTTTTACAATTTTTAAAATTCTTAAATCCCCGGAGAATTTTGAATTTTCCAGCAATAATTCTCATCGATTTAACGACAAAATTAATTTCATGATTCCTCTCTTTTTTATTAAAAGCACAAGATCCTCGATGATTTTTCACAGTCATCGAGTTGATTAAATCGGTCGAAGAAGAAAAGAAAAGAGGCGAGAGAGTATAGTTCACGCATAAGTAAAACACACACAGGATAAAGGGTGATTAGCGAACGGTGAATTATTTAGAATGTTTTGCGATCCCATGGCACAATATGCCCACTTCTTCTCCATTATCTGGGAGCTACACCAGCGAGCTTTGTTCCGCTTAAATATATTACGACACTTCCTAACGTAACTAGCCGAAGAGACCACGCCTGGCTCGCTCTTTCAACGCGCTCCTTTCCTTGCCAAATTAATTTCCTCCACCATGGTGGAATTTGTATGCACGGAGACGCAAAATATCTTATGAAATTTCAATTTTTTTGAAAATCGGAGCGATCATATCCTCGATATAATTCCATAAATTCGCTCAGAAATTTATCCAATTCGTTTATTCAAATATCCTCAACGAGATAAGAATTCGAAAGATCCGATCTAAGTCGTATCGTATATTTCATAGATCGATTGGAAAAAATCGTCGACCATTTTAATTAAAATCCAAGCAAATTTGAGAAAATCCATCAAGACACTCTGCACGATTCGATCGAAGAAAAACCTGTTAAATCGACGACGAGTAATACATCACGTACGCAGGCACGCAATCAGAAAAATCATCGAGTGGATATCCCCTCCCCCTATCCGCGAGGTCCTCGCGACCGACCGGAAGTGGCCGCAACGAGAGAGACCAACGGAGCTCTCCTCGTCCTTTCGCCGGCACGCGTACCTCTCTTCACCTTCAGGAGGGAACGATGGGGAGGACGAGCGTTTTCCGTGCGGGTGGGGGCGGTGTGTGGGGAGGAAGAGGGAGTAGGAGGAGGAGGAGGAGGACCGAGGGCTTTTGCCCGGAACGAGAGTGACTCGATCGCCACGAGGTGGGAGATAGATATAAGGGCATCGTCTTGGAATAACGGATATCAGTGAGTATCGCGCTGTTTTCGCATACGACACACACGGGAGAATACGTACAGCGACTGGCAACATGTCGAAGGTACGAATCGGGAACCGGAAGTCAAGCGAGCCAAGTGCGCGCGCGCATTATTTTTGGTGTTTTTATTTTCCTCTTTCTCTCTCTTTCTTTCTTTCTCTCTCTGTTCCATCGGAATATTTTGTTCAGATTATTGGTAGGTTAGTTGTTAATCGGACGGTTAATTGGTAAAAATTGGTACAGGCAGTGAAAAGTTTCTTTCTTTTGGTTTATCTTGGTTTGGTCGAGAAATGATCGTTTTGTAGAATCTTGTTTTGTGGAATTTTTTTCTTCGATTAGATCAGGTTGTAAGAGAAATAAATAATAGATTTAGTTAAGTGGAAGAAGTTTGCTCGATGAAGAGGAAGTTGAGGGATACGTTGTTGTAGGTAATGGCTCGTCGTTTGATTTATTCGCGATGATTTGTATTCTTTAAATATCTATCTTTGAAGAGAGATTACGCTGATTAACGAGGAATTTTCGAATTACTTCCTTTCATTTGAAAAGAAATTTCAAATTCTAAGTATCATTGTAAAAATTCGAAATTCATTTATCAAATTTTTAAAATTCTTCCTTTGAGTTAAATTATATTATTCACTAATAATTAATTCTTCTTCCATTCAAGAATCCCACATTCAAATTCTTAAAAATTTCATTCTCGATCATTTTTCATGTGTCGAAAATTAATCAATTAATTTTTTGATATCAAGAAGGGACGAACGAGTACTTTTATTAAGAAAGAACGTTTTCAATTTCTTCTTTCTAAAGAAAAATTCTTTCTTCTTCTTTTTAAAAAAAAATTTCAAAATTACCAAAGTGTCTTCATGGAACGATGACCCCGAGAATGATCTATCGACCGCGGTACCATCAACTTCTTTCCTTTGCCATAGACAGACGATACGATTCGTTTTTGCGGTCTGCGATCCACGCGGAAGTAAAAACGTTCCCACTTCCGTGGATTCGTATTAATTTACGGAGCAAGGTCGACGCCGCGAAAGTGAAAAAGGACACTTTTCTTGGGGAGAGAAGAGCCCGTGAAGCGGCACGAAAGATGAAACACGAGACACTTTCACGCGATGACTTTCCAAGTTTCCCAAGTACGACCAACTTACTACCCATCGAAAAATCGTTCAACGCCCACTTTTGAGATTTTTTTGTGGATCACTCGAGTGAGGACAAAATAGAATCGTTCGACGATTATTATCCCAGCCTGGGTACGACGATGATTAAACCTTTGAACGTATTATTGATCCGATTAATCGTGTTTTTTGAATTATTACATTGGATTGACAAAGTTAATGAGATTTTAATCTAATAATTCTGAAATCGTTGAAATGTTTGAATTGGTTTAATTTATTTCTCAATTTGTACATTTATCATCAAAGTTCCTCTCTTCGATCGATGATCTATCTTAATTTAGAAATTTTTTTTTTCCATTTACATGTAAAGTATTTTAGAGTTGTTCTTGATTTTTTTAGGAATTGGGGGAGGAAAAGGATTGGAATTCGATTTTGTTAATGGAAGATAGTTATTTGAATAATTGATACGATATGGGAATTAGAAGAGATTGATTAGATTGATTTAGAATTACATTTCTGTTACAATTTGGAGGAATTTCGTGTGTGCGTGGATTTCATGTTTGTGCTATATTAACTTTTTCAATCAAAAAAAGGAATGGACTTAAACTTAGATAACTCGATACCAAGTTTTTTTATATGGCAAATTTTAACAAGATTGAACAAAGTACGAGTTTTTAAAAAACGAGATTATATAACCGAACTTTTAATTCAATTTTCTTCTACTTTAATTAATTTATTAATACTTTAACATTGTTCTACAAATTTTTTTCCCAAAAGATTAATTACACAACAATTCAATAATTTTTATTACGAATATTATATTTCATAAGTAAAAAATTATTTTAACTTATCCTAACTGACTATCTATTCAGGATCGATCGTGCAGAACACGTATTCGTGATTTCAGAATATCGAAAAATTGATTTATTATTATTTAACCACGTAGTTCACGTGTTTTATCCTCGTAACTAAACCTGAGAAACGATCTAATAACGATTTAAATGCATCATCATTTCCATAACGATCCTTATTGCAAAAGTGGCGCTTACATTGTTCGCTCCTCGTTCAACGAGCTGATACATTCAGCGTTCGTGGGAAGAATTTCGAATTCTCGAACAAAACTCTCGTCTGGTTTATAATTATCGATTTCTAAATAATTTTCCAATTTTTCGAGCCGTTCGAAAATTTCAGAAATCTCAAAACTTTTCTGAATTTTTAAATCAACGAGAGAAAGGATTTTGAATTTAATCTGCCAATTTCCGAATTTTAGAATCCCTGAATTTTTTAATTCTGGAACGAGAGTCTTTTTTGAGTCGTTCAAAAATTTCAGAGGCCTCAGAGTCTTTCTGAATTTTTAAATCAACGAGAGAACGAATTGTGAGTTTAATCTGCCAATTTTCGAATTTTCGAATCCTTGAATTTTTTAATTCTCGGACGAGATTTCAGTCATTTTTCGAGCTCTTCAAAAATTTCAGAAGCCTCAGAGCCTTTCTGAATTTTTAAATCAACGAGAGAATAGATTTTGAGCTTAATCTGCCAATTTTCGAATTTTATAATTCTCCAATTAAGATTTAAAATTCATTTGAAAAATTAGGGGAAAGGGGTTTCCAATTTTTCAAAGATTACAAACGAACGAATGGATTACGATCCATCGTGAAACTAATTAAACAATCAACGTGCAATTACAGTTTCAGAGCCTGTTATGCCACTTGTGCGCGACGATTGCAATGAGTCACGCGGTGGTGTTAAGCGGGTATAACGGGGGTCACGGGATCTCTTACACGGATTACGAGGGCCTCGAAGGATACCCATCCCAATACGAAGGACACGCCGTGTTGCCCACAGTGGCAGTTCCGGTACACGCGGTTTCCGCTTCGCCTGTTCACGTTACAGCCACTCTTGATCATGGATCTCACGGATACGATCATCACGCGGATCATCACGGTCACGATTACTACGTAAGCTACTACCACGATCATCATTACTCTGTCCTTTGATTTTTCTAATTACCGTTTTTATATAATTATTCATCTGAAAATTACGCCGAGTAATTTTTATTCCGTTCTTCGATTAATTTCACGGGGAATTGGTTGTTTTTTTTTTTTTTGTTATTATTACGTATTATTTTCGATTAATTTGTAATTTTATTTTTTAAAACGTAGAAATTCGAAGCGAATTTTTTCTTATTCTTTCATTCTCTTTTTTTGATAAAAGGAAGGATTGATCTATCGTTATGATGAATTTTTATTTTTTATTGGAAAATAAATTAAAATGTGATATTAAATTAATTAATTATAGATCGATTCAAGTACGAATTTATTAATCTTATCATTGATAAAGAGTGATAATAATGTGACAAAATGTGAATAGATATTTATCGCGTAAGAAATTTTATTTTCCTTCTTTGTATGGAATAAGTCAGAGTTAATTAAATATCTTTAATTGTACGTATTCTTTACCCGATAACGCTCATGAATTATTTATTTCTCCAGAATATTTTTCTCATATTATCAATAAGAAATATCGAACGAGCATAAATTTATATTAATTACATTTTAGATTTTTTACTTTCTTCTTCTTATTAAAAACTTTATATTTCTTCTAAAATAAAAAAAAATTCCATAGCCCTTAACAAACTAATAAACTTCAAAATGGATGTTACATTTTCAAAAAAAAAAAAAAAGTATACATAAAATTATCTTCTAACTTCTTCGTGATCGAATTGGATCGAAACAAAAAAAAAAAAATTGCTGGTATTAATATCGACAGACGTCATTCACGAGATAAGATATTAAATTATCGACGATTTGCATTTGGAATCGCGTGTCGCATCGTAAATCACTTCACAAGGTGTGACGCTTTATGTTAATTGAAATTCTTTGCTGTGGAAAGCGGTGCTTGGCATACGAACACCTTCCGCCATGTATCTCTCATTGCCACCACCGTTTCCGTCATACTTTCTCGCGACGTTGGAGATCTGAACTCCCATGGAAAATTCGTTACGAAATTTCCATTCGACTCGAAATACCGATTCCTACTCGATATCTCTTTATAATCTCTAAAACTATACACATCTCAATTTTTATGCGCCTAACAAAATACGAAAAGCAGAGAATATTAATTAGAATAGAAATTAATCCTCGAAAAATTCTCTAATACGAGTCTATCCAATCTACAAAAATTAAATCCAATAAATTCCAAAAAATTTTCACCTACAAATATTACAATAGATAAAAGAAATATATATCATGTTAATATTAGAATTGAAATTAATCCTCGAGAAATTCTACATTACGAGTCTATCCAATACAAAAATTAAATCTAATATCTAATATCTAATATCGTACAATCTAATATCGTATAATAAATTCCAAAAAAATTTCACCTACAAATATAATAGATAAAAGAAATATATATATATATCACGAGAATATTAATATTAGAATAGAAATTAATCCTCGAAAAATTCTACATTACGAGTCTATCCAATACAAAAATTAAATCTAATATCGTACAATAAATTCCAAAAAATTTTCACCTACAAATATTATAATAGATAAAAGAAATATATATCACGAGAATGTTAATATTAGAATTGAAATTAATCCTCGAGAAATTCTACATTACGAGTCTATCCAATCTAAAAAAATTAAATCCAATAAATTCCAAAAAATTTTCACCTACAAATATTATAATAAATAAAAGAAATATATATATCACGAGAAATTTTCGAATCTCTCTCTTTCTGTTTCTGCTACAGGCCCATCCGAAATACATGTTCAACTATGGCGTCCACGACCCTCACACAGGGGACGTGAAGACCCAGCACGAGGTTCGCGATGGGGACGTGGTTCACGGTTCGTACAGCGTCAACGAGCCCGACGGAAGCGTGAGAATCGTCGAGTACACGGCGGACGACCACAACGGTTTCAACGCGGTGGTTAAAAAAGTTGGTCCGGCCATTCACCCGAAACCCATCCCCGTGGCCAAGTACATATCCCCGGCGTATTACAATAGTTACGAGGAGTACGAGAAGCATCACTTTTAACCCAATTGTGAATCGCGTTTAAAATGGGGGAAAAATGTGGAGACAGGGTCAGAGAGGAGAAAAAATTTTATTTAAGTTAGTTGTACGGAGATAAACCCTTTTTTTTATGATATTTATATCGAGCTTACGATTAAATCGAATCAAACTTCATTCAATCGTGGAATTTTTAAACCATGAAGAATTTCAAAGGATACCGTGGAGATTGAAAAAGTTGGAAAAGAGATTTTGTAATTTGTAAAATTGGAAAATAATTTAAAGAAGAAAGTGAGAGGGAGAAAGAAAGAAATGATGGAATATATTCAAAGTCACGTGTCCACGTGAAATGTGGATGTTAATTTTAAACACACACAAGATCAATTTGTATGTGTATTTATACATATTGATGGAATTTTTCTAATTTTTTCTAAACACATATTCACGATATATTTTATTTAATTAAAGAGGTGCTTCGAAATAGAATGGTGTGCCAAGAAAGAAAAAGAAATGGGGGGAATAGGAAATCGTTAAGATTTTAAGATTTACCAATACTTTTTTTTTTTTGTTTTTATTAAAAGAAACTCTATCTAAAACTATCCTTCGAATTATCAAAATATGTAAACGAGTGTTCGTTGAATTGGCAAAAATGATTATTCTTTTGCTATCTTCTCTTTTGATACTGGGAATAAATACTTTAAAATATTCAAAATATTGTTAAAAAAATTAAAAAAAAAAAATTGAAATTGTCAGAAATGTCAGAGAGAAAATTACACATTATCATTCGACGAATCGATTGAAGACTTTATTATTAGTTAGAAGAATTGTACTTAATTACACTTGGTTTAATGGTTATTAGATGTTAGAAGAGTTTGAAACGTCGAAATTTGTAATTTTCACAATTTTGTAATTATAGATTTAGAAGAAAGAAGAAAACAAAAAAATAAATAAAAATCGTTTATAATTTTTGCAATAATATTGTAATTATCACAAATATTTAAGTTTCATAAAAACTGTGCCACATCTATCGTAGGGATGGAAGTATCGTGTCTCGATATATAATATTAATAACGTTGGAAATTTTTTAATTTTTGTGAAACACATTTGAAATTTGTACATTACATACATCTTTGAATTAATATTTATGAACAAATACGAACAAACAAGGTTTTGAATTTTTAGATCGAAAATGTTAAGATTAAAAATCATAAAAGTTAAAAAATTTTTTAATTTTGAAAATTTTTTTATCTTTTAATTAAAATTTCCAATCTAATGGTTATTAAACTTTTCCAACGAATAATTTCATATTATATAATAACCTCATTTTCACTTTTGTTCGTGAAATAGACCTAACACATACGACCATCATTACACACATGTAAATAAGGATCAAAAAATTTTTGTATTCAATAAAATCGTACCAATGTTATAGTATCAAGTCTTTCTTCTTTTGATAAAAAAGAAATAAAAAGAAATAAAATACTTTTCCTCTAATTTGAGCCAAAATTTTACAACTAATTATCTTGCTAATTAAGAAAAGATGAGAAATAAAAAAGAAGAAGAACTCGTTATTTCATCGATGTATTTCATGAATGTATTTCGAGGAAGAAAGATTACAATGGCTCGTTAACGTTAACCAAGTTTCTTAATGAAACGAATTAAGACTCTCTTTGGACCAAGTTTTCCATTTTGTACAGATAATCGATTAAAACGAAAAGAAGATGGAGACTCTTGAAGATTACTCTCAGAAGAATTTCTTCCATTTTAAAATTAATTGTTTTTATTAAATTAAATATAGATTATTTATTTAAATTATTTAAAAATAAACCAAACCCTTTAAATTATTTATATGTTAATAGAGAAGCCAATAATCCGATCTTTTCAATCATTATTATCACGAAAAAAATTTTGAACAGATTTGAAATGTAATCTCGCGACGAATTAATTCATTTATTTTTTACACCTGATTCGTAAATTTTATCTAAACGTCTATTTCTGTCGATTCGTAATTTTTTAAACTTTTTCCTCTCTCATTATTCTCGTGTCACGCGATTTCATTGTAAATTTCGTCGAAATATGTTTGAATGTTTTTCCCATGAAAACTTAATGGCGAGTGATAAAAATGCGCGAGACAATGGCGAAGAACGTCATTTCTAAATTTACTTTGACTACGTCTCGAGAATTGTTATAAATCGAAGATTTGGAAGATGAAATTGATTTTAATAACGAAGAATGATGCTTATTCTTTAAGGAATATCGAAAAAAAGATAGGAAAGGCAATTTTTGGAAGAAAATTATGATAAATATAAACAACTAACTTATTTTGATTTTTTGAATTTTTTGATCGGGAAATAAAATTTTGTAATATCGAATTTCGAAAGCAATAAATAATAAATTACGATATAAACTAATTTAAAATAGGAATAGAATTTCGAATTTTCGATATAATTCAAATCAACGATATTGCTTTCCTTTCAAAATGTAAGTACTCGATTAATCTAATTTTGATAAATCTGCGAAGATAACTGTTTTAAAATATTCATTTCTTATCTAATCAAATTCCATTTTTTAATATGAACTAATCATCGATTGATCGATTAACTTATTTCTATACATATTCATAGTATTATAAACGCGTATACTTTTAAACAAAAATAACAATAACAACTAACAATAACCTAACAACTGAAATAAAAAGAAAATAGCAAGTATAATAAAATATCTATAAAGAATTATTCACACCTTGTTATAATAAAAAAAAAAAATCTAACGAAAACGTTGTTCCATTTAACACGCACACACACACACACAGACATACACACGAATGGAAATTTACACAAAGTTAAAAAAAGAAGAGAAGCATATAAAAAAGAAACTCGACTCACCCAAGATTCCTTGAACATCTTATTGGCTATGATACTGGTGCTCTCGAACATGTTCCTCCCTGGTCCAGAGGCGAAGCACATCTCCTTTTTTCCTGGGCAAGTGTACTGTTTCGAGCAATTATTGCCGGAAAATTCGCATTTCGGGCCACGTGTGTTGGGTGAAACATCGCCGAGATTGCTGGAGGCGAAGGCTGCCACGAATGGGCCCTGATCTCAACCAATTTCTTCAATTACAATCCTCGAAGGAACGCAAAATCTCTTCTTTACTTCCCGTTCAATAACATCCGTTATTTGCACTCGCGAAAATATATATTTGAATCGTATCGTTGCATCGATATTGTAAAATAACGAAGAAAAAGATTAAAACCGATAAATTTTAACAAGATTTAACACGGCCACGATGCGTATAGCACGACGTTTCGAAACAAAATGAAACCGGTGCCCTCGAACGCGCGAATTTCGATAGGACGAATACGTTTATAATTCGTTTGTTTATAGTTTCGACTTCGCTTCGAATATTGTTATTCTTTCTTACATTCGATGGGAATACGTACACGTATAACGCGTTATAAGAGATTTAATTTATCGAAAAATTATTTACGATTGTTTTAAAATATTTGTCAACGATTTGAAATGAATTTAAAAAAGTTTGAAATGTTATAAAAAAGATATATATAAATTAATACGTGACGTATATTTCTTTTTTAATTTTATAAAAAAATTAATTAATTATTAAATATTATTAACTAATATTTAAATAATAATAATATTTAATTTATATAAATATTAATAATATATTATTACATATTAATATAATAATAATATATAATAATATTTAATTTATATAAATAATATTATATATTATATAATATTATATAATATTATATAAATAATTTATATTTAATTTACAAAATTAAATATAATAATACATATAATTATTAAAAACATGAAATAAATATTTTTATAGATAATAATTATTCGATATCTTATTCGATATTCAATAATCTTTTTTATAATCTATCAAATCATTAAATTAAAATGTTTTAAACGATTTTAAAACATTTAATAAAACTAATTAATAAACAAAATGGATTAATTCTTGATTGATCAAAATTATTGAAACAGATTTAAGATAATTTTGTATCATATTAATAATTACAAATAAATTTAATTTTCTTAAAACATCCTATCTACTCTTTGATCGTATAATAAAATTATCTTTAGAGTCTTTGAATAAGTTAATAACATCGTTTCTTACCTTGCCAATCAGTGAATCATTGTTCATTATTCTCTCGAAAAGAATCGAGGCATAACCAATGTTATCACTGGACACCAGATGATTCGTGTTATTCATACTTGTCGGATGGATGGCGAACCAATTAATTACACCCAATGGTTTATTGTCCTCATTCTTGTAAAATTGTATTTGCGTCAAAATCTTATCCACATTGTCCCTGTACCTGTGCATCGAGATTAACTCGTTCGTTCATTCGAAGGGAGAAAGAAAATTTATTTATAATCAACGAGAATAATATTTTAATACTTGTCCCTCTCCACTTTTGGATTGTTTAGATAAGCGAATGGACTTCTGTTTATATTGACACCGTGAACTTCCCCATGGGTGATGAAGAGCCGACCTGGCACCATGGCGTTATGGGCACGTTCGATACTCTGAAAAAAGTAATAATATTTAATCTTTATATTATATTATTTTTCTTTACTTTCCAATTTGTTATTTCGTTAAAACTTTTTTTCTTTTTTTTTTTTAAAGAGAATTATTAATTATAACGATTAAGTGGAAATTAGATATTTAGGATTACATTGCCTCGAAATTTTTGGAAACGAGTGTTACCTTGGTTATCCCATTAACCATGGCATCGAACGTCTCCCTAACGAAACCGAACGTCGTGAGATCGAATAGCATGTGCAACATGAATCCACCGGGGGTGGAGTGCGAGTGGGTTGCACTGATCATGACATTCTTCTCCGTATACAAATCGCCATACTGTTTTTGGAGATTCTCCACCACCTGTAGCAACGAGTGTTACGATCTTAAGTGAGAAGATAAAAATTTATCTATATCGAAATCGATAAACTTTAGAAATTTATTGAATTTAAAACAAAATAAAAGGAAAATATTATTTATCCATCGATTGCTCTTTCTTGTCTTTCTTAAATTGTATTGTAATCGAGATATTCTTATTTTTGTTTTATTTAAAAAATAGAATCTTTCTCAATGAAAATTTCAATCTAACAAAAGCTATTCAAAAATATTTTTATTATCTCGTTATTAATTTATTTTCGATTTTAAAAATTATCGATACGAATTGTCTGCATATCTTGATACGAAATCTCTTTTTAATTATATCGATTATCTATTGTTTATTCGCAATTTTCAATCTATATTCTTCTTTCGATTTATAGATAAAAATAGAAAAGATGAATCGAATCGATAAATACAATTAATTAGACGTGGGATAAGACTTGACAAGATTTAATCGTGCCCGAAAGATGATGGAAAATTTCTATTATATTGATCAAGAAGGAAAGGGTTAGATGCAAAGTGCGGATTACCGTTTCACGTATCCCGTTTCCTATCATCGCGCTGTCCACGCTGACGAACACGAACCTCTCCTCCCCATCGTCGATGATGAATGCCCTAGAAAACGTTCGAAGATGGAGTCCTGATCCCTTCTGATCGATCTTCGCGTAGCCCATCTGGAAACACGAACAACTCTCCTCGTGATCCGAATACAGAAGAAAGAACATTCGATTCAATCATTATTGAATATTTCTATTGCGATACAAACAGGATGATTAAAAAAATAATTCTTATAATTCAAACTGGTATTAAGAAAGAATATAAAATAAAGGAAAAGTGAAAAATCATAATATGGACGTTTAGAGAAAATTATTTACTTTAATTAATTCAATAAAAACAATAACAACATTTAACAAACACATCTTTAAATGATTATTTCAATTACTGCTTCCCATTTGTTTGAGGATTATTTTTATGAAAAATAATTAAACAAAACGCCAATTTTTTAAAGAAAAAAAAGTCGCGAAAAAAGCAATAATTATGCATTGATTTATCATTATTTATTATTTATTAATTTTCTGAATTGTAATATTTTTACCCAAAGGATAATAATAGAAAGAAAAATATAAAGAATACTAACGAATATTATTTTAGACTTTTTTGGATTCAATTATTTTCTTCGAATTGTAATTATATTTATCAAAGGATCAAGATAACGAATATTATTTCGA